GTCCAGTATTGTATTTTTTTTACATTTTATTATTTTTTGAATTATTATTATCATTTTATGATATAGTTCCATAGGCTCCTGCTGTTTCCCTTATCCCAGCCCCAATCCCCCCCAACACACATACACACCTAGTTCCTCTGTATCATTACTAAAGTATAGTTCTTCATACACAGTCATATGTCCATCAGTGAGGGCATGGACAATGGCAGAGAGTCCAGCATCCTATTGTCAAGATAAAGTAAACGGTTTCATTGTAAGTCCATCTTTGTCTGGAAGTAGGAATGCATACTACATTGTATCCTCACATCTGGATATGTTAGTCTCCATTTCACAGCTACTGTACATCCCCTCAAATGAAAAGTCATAATACAAAATCAACAATAGAAAGAAAAATAGAAATTTACAGTGCCATGAAGTTAAATAACATGTTACTAGATAGCCAGTCTCCATTACACAACTACTATGCATTTTCTTAAATGAAAAGCCACAAAACAAAATCAACATCAGTAAGAAAAAAGAAATTAACATCATGAAGTTAAATAACATGCTACTAAAAGACTAACGTGTAGCTGAAGAAATGAAAATCAAGAACTTTCTTGAAGAAAATGATGCTACTGTATGATCTACGAGTCATTGAATTACTTAATCAGAAGAAAGTGTTTTGAAGAGATGAAACTAACAATACATGAAAACCCATGTGATAGGGCCCGGCGCGGTGGCGCAAGTGGTTAAAGGTCCTCGCCTTGCACGCCCGGGATCCCATATGGGCGCCGGTTCTAATCCCAGCAGCCCCGCTTCCCTTCCAGCTCCCTGCCTGTGGCCCGGGAGAGCAGTCGAGGATGGCCCAAAGCTTTGGGACCCTGCACCCGCGTGGGAGACTGGAAGAGCCTCCTGGCTTCGGATTGGCATAGTATCGGCCCGTTGCGCTCACTTGGGGAGTGAATCATCGGACGGAGGATCTTCCTCTCTGTCTCTCCTCTCTGTATACCCGCCTTTCCAATGAAAAAATAATAAAAATAAATCTAAAAAAAAAAACCCATGTGATATAGTTTCCACTGATTTTTGTTGGTGAAATGTGTCTCTTCTAGACAACAAATAGATGGGTTTTGTTTTTTAATCCAGTGTACTAATCTATGATGTTTGATTGAGCTTAAGCCATTTACATTCAGGGTTAATATGTATGAGTGGTACTTTGGTCCTGTCATTTTAGGAATGGGTTGATCATAGGTTTAGTCTTCTGTTGTCATTTTACTGGGATATTCTTCACATTTGCCTGTGGTTTTGTTTGGTGCTATTCCTCTTCTCTGTCAAGAGAACATCTTGAAGTATGAATTGTAGGGCAGGTTTGGAAGAGGCAAATTCTTTTAACTTTTCTTTACTGTGGAAGAATTTTATTTCATTTTCAAAGACAAAAGAAAGCTTTGCTGGATATGTTATCCTAGGTCGATAATTTTTTGCTTTTAGAATCTGGAATATGTCATTCCATTTTCTTCTTGCCTATAGAATTTCTTGTGAGAGATCTCCTGTGAGTTCAATTGGCATCCCTTTATATGCCAATTGATTTTTTTTCACGTGTACATTTAAGGATCTTTTCCTTATGTTCAATTTAAGAGAGCTTAATCATCATGTGTCTTGGTGAAGATTGCTTTTGATCAGGACTATTGGGAGTTCTGTGCCCCTCCTGGATCTTGTTTCCCAATTCTTTCTCTAGATTAGGGAAATTTTCCTTTATTATTTCATGAAATATATTTATAAAACCAGTTTCTCTTTCTGCCCCTTCTGGGACTCCCATAACTCTTACATTAGGCCTCTTAATAGTGTCTTTCAACTCTTGAATACTTTTTTTGTCCTGATCCAGCTCTGCTTCCAGCTTTTTGTTTGCTTCCCCCTGGTGACAGGAAATATCTTCCAATTCTGAGATTCTTTCTTCTGCTTGCTTCATTCTATTTTGGAGACTCTCCACTATACTTTTAATTTGCTCTATTGTGTTCTTAATTTCTGATATATCAGCCTTGATTTGCTTTCATTGCTGCTATTGCTTAAATTATCCCTTAAATTCTGGGCCCGGCGTGGTGGCACAGTGGTTAAGGTCCTCACCGTGCATGCCAGGATCCCATATGGATGCCGGTTCTATTCCCGGCGGCCCTGCTTCCCATCCAGCTCCCTGCTTGTGGCCTGGGAAAGCAGTCAAGGACAGCCCAAAGCTTTGGGACCCTGTACCCGCGTGGGAGACCTGGAAGAAGCTCCTGGCTTCGGATCAGCATAGCATTGGCCGTTGCGCTCACTTGGGGAGTGAATCATCGGACGGAAGATCTTTCTCTCTGTCTCTCCTCTCTGTATATCTGCCTTTCCAATAAAAATAAAATAAATCTTTAAAAAGAATATTCCTTAAATTCTTTGACTCTTGTATGTGCTTCTCATTGTTGATTAGAAGCTTTAAAATGAGTTTTCTGAATTCTGTGTCCCCCATTTTCTTGATATCTTTTTCAGTTAACTCTGAGGTTGGCATAGGGTTTTGCTTCTTTGCAGGGGAGTTTTCAATAATATTCATTGTGCCTTTGTCTCTTCTTTTGCTCTTGGTCATTGTACTTCTGGTTAGCAGTAGCAGAGTTTTCTCCCTGAGGCAGGTTTCTAAGCTGTGTCACCCACAGGTCTACTGTTCGATTTTACTTATTGCAGTTGGTACAAATTCTTTGTTTACAGCCAATTGTGCCACTCCTTCCAGTGAGTTCCAGGTCTGGGTTCTTATGTTAGATTTCCACAAAGAACTCCGTAGTCCCAACTCCTGGCTCACCAATCTCCACCTCTTGTGATACTGTGCTGAGGCTGCACTGTTGCCTGTACAACCTTTCTCCCACTTCCTGTTGGGGCAGGTCCCAGGATTAGGGAGACACCAGGTGTCCTATATAGCTAGGTTGTTGGTGGTGCTGATCTTGCCAGAACCTGTTGGACGTTAGATCTGGGTGCCACATGGACCTATTTTTACCTGTACAATGTCACAGTCAGTATTATTTTCCTGCGGGACCAGTGCAATTCACAGAACTCAGTGAATTCTTAAGAACACAGCATATGTGTAGTTCACTGTTGCCCCTGAAGTCCTAAAACTTTTTCCACACTGTACAAAATGTCACCTGACGTGCCCCTACTAGAATTCTTGATCTGCTGACCATCAGGTCTGAGGGTTGTCTTGGGTGGAATCTGTAGAATGCCATGTTGCGGCAGTTCATTGAGTCAGAAATGAGTTCACTCCCAGCTCGCCATATGCTCAGTCCTTTCCCTTGTCTTTGCCTCCATAAGCAAAATGGTGCCCCATTCAGCTCTAGGGGGCTGACTGAGCTGTGAAATCCACTCTATTCTTGCACAGCCCGTCTGGAATCTGCTGCTCTGTCTTTGTTCCTGGTCAAATCAAATGGACCAGCAGGACAGTTCTTTGTCTGGGTTCACCCCCCAAGCTCTCAGTGAAAGTCCCTTCCCACCTGGTTGCTGGTGGAGTTCCAGCTGCTGGTGGAGTTCAGATCGCAGTTAGCTGAATGCCTCTGGAGCATCAGTCACTGCGACACCACACTGTTGTGTCTGCTGCTTCCCTGTGTCTGTCAGTCTCCACGTACCCCTCTGCTGTTGTTCTGTCCTCTCCTATTTCCTGGGATGTGTCCTCTCTGCTTCATGCTGATTAAATGTTTCTCCATTTGTTTAAACGTGTTCTTACTCTATTCTGCCATCTTGAGATTCTAGCATCGTATTGTCAAAATGTATTTCACAGTTTCGTTGGGAGTCTATCTTTGATCTGGAAATGGAGATGCATACTACATTGTTTCCTCACACCTGGATATGACACTGTTCATTACAGAGTTGTTTTGTGGCTTTTCATTTAAGAACTGACATTTTTTTCAAATTTTTTTTTATTATTATTGGAAAAGCAGATGTACAGTGAGGAGACACAGAGAGAAATCTTCCATCTGTTGGTTCACTCCTCACATGACCCTAATAACTGATCCGAAGCCGGAATCCAGGTCTCTTGCATGGATGCAGTATCCCAAGGACTTGGGGCATCCTCCACTGCTATCACAGGCCATAAGCAGGGAGCTGGATCAGAAGCAGAGCAACCAGGACACAAACTGGTGCCCACAAGAGATACTGGCACTTCAAGGTAGAGGATTAGCCTGTTGAGCCATGGCACCAGCCTTAAAACTGACGCTTATTGAACATCTGTTGTGTGCTACACACTGAGTGTGCATTGCTTGGAGCCAGCATTGTGGTGCAGTGTGTAAAGCTACTGCCTGCAGTGCTGGCATCCCATATGAGTGCCTGTTTGAGTCCTGCCTACTCCACTTCCAATCCAGTTCCTTAATAATGGTCGTGGGAAAGCAGTGAAAGATGGCCCACGTGACCTGGCCCTGACCACCCACTTGGAAGACACAGATGAAGCTCTTGACTCCTGGCTTCAACTTAAGTCTACCTCCAGCTATTGCAACCATTTAGGGGAGTGAACCAATAGATGAAAGATCTCTCCTTTCTCTCCCTCTTTGTAATTCTTTCAAAATAAGTAAACAAATTAAACAATTCTCAGTGGTCTTGTGAGATGGATATTACAACTTCTACTTCATAGAGGAGGTAGAAGTGGGGCTTCCGGGATTAGAACAGGCGCCCATATGGGATCCCAGTTCATTCAAGACGAGGACTTTAGCTCTAGGCCACGCCGCCAGGCCCAAGATCTAGAATTTAAGTAACTTTTCAACCTCATGAACCTTTGACAGACAGTGAAGTCTGGTGCTTGGCATTATGCCTGCTTGTCATCCCAGGTTAATACAAATGGTGGTATCCTGGAAGGAGAGATTGTGAATGTGCCTGTTGTTCTAAGCTGGGAAAAATTTGCAGGAGTCTTCCCAAAGTATCTCTTTCCCTAATTACATCTCTGGCTCCTGTGCTGATCAGTGGGTTATTTCTAGATTGTCTATTCCCACTTGGGCCCGTTGTGACCACATGAATACTTTGGTTGGCAGGCGGTGTCCCTGACTCCTGCAGGATGGCCCAATGGAACCAGCTGCAGCAGCTCGACACACGGTACCTGGAGCAGCTCCACCAGCTGTACAGTGACAGCTTCCCCATGGAGCTTCGGCAGTTTCTGGCCCCTTGGATCGAGAGTCAAGACTGGTGAGTGCTTCACAAGAAACTCCCCAGACTGGTAGGTTTGGGTTTGAGTCAAGACACCTGACCTGTTTTGGCCTCATGCTTTGCTTACTATATTTTTTTCTTTGTAAATATTTATTTATTTTTATTGGAAAGGTGAATATACAGAGAGGAGGAGAGATAGAGAGGAAGATCTTCTGTCCAATGATTCACTCCCCAAGTGACCACAACGGCTGGAGCTGAGCCAATCCGAAGCCAGAAACCAGGAGTTCTTCCTGGTCTGCCATGCAGGTGCAGGGTCCCAAGGCCCCGGGCCAATCCTCTACTGCTTTCCCAGGCCACAGGCAGGGAGCTGGATGGGAAGCGGGGCTGCCAGGACTAGAAGTGGCTCCATATGGGATCCCAGCGCGTGCAAGGCGAGGACTTTAACCACTACGCTATTGTGCCAGGCCCTTTGGTTACTATTTCATGAAAAACTTATGGGCATAGGTAATGGGAACTAGAGACCAGCAGGTAAAGCGGTACCTTTAGGGCCCGGCGCAGTGGCTTAGCGGCTAAAGTTCTTGCCTTGAACGCACAGGATACCATATTGGCACCGATTCTAATCCCAGTAGCCCCACTTTTCATCCAGTCCACGTGGGAGACCCGGAAGAGGCACCTGGCTTCGGATCAGCACAGCACCGGCCGTTGCAGTCATCTGGGGAGTGAATGGTCGGATGGAAGATCTTTTTCTCTTTCACTCCTCTATGTATATCTGCCTTTCCTATAAAAATGAATAAATTAAAAAAAAGAAGTACCTCTACTCTTTTTCTTTTTAAATTTAATTTATTTGGAAAGCAGAATTAGGGGAAAACACACACACACACACAAGCACGCCTTCTGCACAGATTGATTCCCCACATGGCCACAACTATAGAGCTGGGCCAGATCAAAGGTGGGAGCTAGGAGCTTCTTCCGGTCACTCATGTGGGTTCCGGGGTCCCCAGCATTTACACTCTCTTCCGCTGTTTTTTAGGGTGCACTGACAGGGAGTTGGGTTGGAAGTGGAGCAGTCGGGACATGAACCAGTGCTCATACGGGATGCTAATGTCCCAAGCAGCAGTTTTACTTACTGTGTCACACCACGCCACAATGCCGGCCCCTGGTCTTTTTAAGGTTTTCATTGTTGGAAGGACATTTGGGTGGGAGCTGGTGCTGTGGTGCTGTTAACCATTTATGGCACCAGTTCAGGTCTCAGTTGCTTCACTTCCAGTCCAGCTCCCTGCTAATCTGGGGTGGTGAGGCAGCAGGTGGAACATCTCTCTCTGTCTTCCCTTCTCTCTTGGTAACTCTGCCTTTGAAGTAAAAATAAATACATCTTTAAAAACTTTAAAACTTTTTAAAACTTTTTAAAGTTTGTTTTTGAGAGAGCAGGGATAAGGTTGATGCAGAGGAAAAAGAGCTCCCATCTTCTGGTTCATTCCCCAAATGCCTGTAACAAACTGCCTGGACCTGACCAAAACCAGGAGCAGAGAACTCATCCTGGGACGCCCAGGATGGTGATAGGAACTCCATTCCTTGAGCAGTTACCTGCTGCCTCAGGGGGTCTGTGTTAGGAAGCCGGAGCCAGGAGCCAGAGGCAGGATCTGAGCTGAGACACTACATGGAATGCAGATGTCTAAGTGCGGGGCCCAAAACTTCCTGCTCTTCCTCTGGGATGCTGGGGGTGGGGTGGGGTGTGTGTGTGTGTGTGTGTGTGTGTGTGTGTGTCTGTGTGTCTGTGTACACGCATGCGCATTGAGCTTTCAGTCATTCCTCACTGCTCTCTCTGCTAGGGCCTACGCGGCCAGCAAAGAGTCCCATGCCACCTTGGTGTTTCACAATCTCCTGGGTGAGATTGACCAGCAATATAGTCGTTTCCTGCAAGAGTCCAATGTCCTCTATCAGCACAATCTGCGCAGAATCAAGCAATTTCTCCAGGTAGGAGGGGCCCTGGGCCTGTTGCCTGTGGGAGGGTGGGGGTCTTTTTTATCTTTGGCTAAGTACTGAGAACCTGTCTCACCCTCTCAGTCAGAGGAGGGACATCAAGTGTTCTCAAGTCTCTCTACAGCCCTCTCACCCCAGGACATTTCTTTTTTTGTTTGTTTTCTTGCCCCCTGCACATTTCATCAGTCCCTTCTTTTGCAGCAATTGGCTGTTGGGTTAATCCCATGACACCTGTTAGCACCACTGGATTCCTCCCTTAGGACTGTTGACTGCTGCTGTTGAATGTTAAGAGCGTGCCCAGACTTGGATTCCTTGATGGAGCCCTCTGTTCTGAGACTTGGAGCAGTGTACCTGCTCTCAGACAGCACCAGCCTACTGTATCTGCCTGCCTGCTTCCTTCCTCCCTCTCATCAGCCAGGCTCTCAGTCTGTGGCTGCTTTGTTTTGCATCAGAACTGTAACTGGTTCCTCAGTTGGTGAGGAACTTCTCTGTGGTCAGCTGCTGCCCTTCACTTTTCTTCTGTCCGCCTACAGAGCAGGTACCTTGAGAAACCAATGGAGATTGCCCGCATTGTGGCCCGGTGCCTGTGGGAAGAGTCCCGACTCCTCCAGACGGCAGCCACTGCCGCTCAGGTAAGCCCCGAGAAGACCCAAAGCACTGCTAGGAGGAAGTGGAAAGTCACACAGCTAAGTCATGTGACAAAGCACACATTTTCCTAAATATCTGAGAAAGGAAGGAATAGACAAATAACCATAAAAATCCATTGGGAAATGTGCAGATACACAAGCCTAATCCCATCAAAACAGCCAATAGACACACTGGTTTTAGAAGTTCTATTTGGGAGCTGGCACTGTAGTGTGGTAGGTGAAACCTCCACCTGTGGTGCAAACATCCCGTCCAGGTGCCTGGTGCGAGTCTAAGCTGCTCTATTCTGAATGTGCTCGCTTGCTGATGGATCTTGGAAGGCAGTGAGAGATAACTGATGACCTGGAGTCCCTGCTAGTGGGAGACCCAGGAGAAGCTTCTGGCTTCTGGCTTTTGACTGGCCCAGCTCTGGCCATTGCCACCATTGGGAGAGTGAATCAGCAGATGGAAGATTTCACCCTTCCTCTGTCTCTTCTTCTCTCTCTGTAAATCTGTCTTTCAAAAACAAAAAAATCTTTTTTTAAAAATTCTGTTTGGAAGGACTTTCATGATATCTGTTTTTCCAGTGTCGTTCAGATTCTTTCCGAGTGTATAGAAAGACAGAAGCTGATTCCAGCTCATTTTATAAAGCAAGAATTATGGTCATGTCAAGACCTAAAAAATCACAAAATAATAAAAATGGTGGATATTTTTGCAAACTGAGAGGTCTACAAAACAGATTTTATCTTTTTTAAGATTTACTTATTTGAAAAGCAGAGTTTAGAGAGGGTTAGGGGAGGAAGCAAGAGACAAATCTTCTATCCATTGGTTCACTCCAAATGGCCACAGTGGTCAGAGCTGGGCTAGTATAAAGGCAGAAGTGTAAAAGTCTAAAGAGTTTTTTCTGGGTCTCCCTCATATGTACAGGGGTCTAAGGACTTGGGTCATCTGCTGTTGCATTTGTAAGCACATTAGCAAGGAGCTAGATTGGAAATGAAACTACTAGAGTTCGAACCAGCGCCCCTTTGGGAGGACGGCCCTGCAGATGGTGGCTTTACCCACTATACCTTGGCACTGGTCTCACAAATCATGTATTATATTCTAGGAATGCAGGGATGGTTCAACTTTATGAATTCTACTATAATTCATTAAATTAATAAGTTAAATAACAAAAACTTATTTTTATTGGGTTACACAATCCAGTAATTAATTCCAGTTTAAAAAAAAAAACAGAAGATTTATTTATGAGAAGGCAGAGCTTCAAAGACAGGGAAATTTTATGTGTACTGATTCATCCTCCAAATGGTTGCAACAACTGGGTCTGGCTCAGAAAGAAGGCAAGAGCCAGTAATTCCATGCTGGTTTCCCGTATGGCTGGCAAGGGCCCAAGCAATTTGGTCAGTAGCCTAAGGCCGAGTGGGTGATGACCAGCTTATGGGAGGAGGTGTTTATGATCCCTTAGGTCTGGCAGCTGGACCTTGGAAGAGCTGTTTGCCACGAGGGTCATTGTCACTGACTGTGTAGCCATAAGAGAACGCTTTTTCGTTTTTGTTTTGCTTTCCTTCTGTCTCTCTGTTTTTCTACTGGGAATGATGGTAGTACCAACTTCGATCGATCGATCGATGTGCCATGTAAAATGCTTAGGATAGAGCCTGACGCATACATATGAAATCACTAGTCATTGTTGCACTGCTGTCACCGTTATCAACTCCCTCATCACTGCTATGAGAAATGGCGCAAGAAATTTTAAACAAAGATGATAAGTGCGGATGTGGGTCAGGGCGCAGATAACAGTGATACCCCTCGCCATTCTATACTCTGAAGGCAGGAAATTGGCAGAGATGCCCTTGTTGATGCAAGACGCCCTAGAGGTTGCATTTTTATTCTATTTGAAAAATAGATATAAGATCTTCCATCCACATTTTTATTGCTGCAAGTGTCTGCAGTTGCTGGGGCTGGGACAGGCTGAAGCCAGGAGGCTGAGACACCACCTAGGTCTCCCTTGTGGGTGGAGGGACCCATGTACTTGAGCCATCATCTGCTGTCTCCCAGGGAATAGCACGAAATGGGATTGGATATAGTATCAGAACTTGAATCCAAGCACTCCAATATGAAATATAGCCATCACAAGAAGCAACTTAGCCACCGGGCCAAACTCCTGCCCTGTCATTAGGGTTATCTGTCATGGAGAACCTTTATGTTGCCATCTTATTCCACAAGATAAGAATGCTTGGTTGTGGGGCCCAGTGTCAGGGCATGGTAGAGTAAGCTGGTGCTTACATTGCTAGTGTCTAATAGGACTGTCAGTTCAGGTCCCAGAAATCCCATTTCAGATCTGGCTGCCTGCTCATGCACCTGAGAAAGCAGCGGAGCACGGCCTAAGTTTCTAGATGGCCCCATCCTGATAGGAGGTGCAGATGGAGTCCCAGTTCCAGGTTCCTGGCTTTGAACTGGGCCAGCCCTGGTCATTTGAACCATTTAGGGCGTGATCCAGTGGATGGAAGATCTGTCTCTTTTCTCTCTGTAAACCTTCCTTTCAAATAAAAAATAAATATATTTTAATTTTTATTTATTTATTTTAATATTTTTTTAAAAATAGGAAAAAATGGTTGAAATCAATTTGAATAGAGGCATTAATTGTACCAAGGGAGATGGGAGAGCAAAAAATGTCATAGATGTATTTTTTAAAAGATGTATTTATTTATTTATTTCAAATATCATAGTTACAGAGAAGGAGAGAAATGGATCTTCCATCTGTTGCTTCACTCCCCAGTTTACTGCAGTAGACAGCACTGAGGCAGGTTGAAGGCAGGAGCTTCTTCTGGGTCTCCCATGGGAATGACAGGGATCCAAACACTTGGGCTGTCTTCCACTGCTTTTCCCAGGCCATTAGGAGGGAGCTGGATGGGCAGTGGAGCATACACGGACCGGCTCTGCATCATGACCCATGCACATCGAGGCTATTTTTATTCCTCTAATCCAGGGTCACTGAAAACACAGTGACCATAGTCCAAATTTAAATAAGGTATTTTGGAACCCACGTCCCTTCATTCATGCATTGCCCATGGCTGCTTTCCTGCTGCAGTATTGTGACTAGATATTTGCAGTGGCATCTGTGTGACTCAGAGAGCTTAATTTTGCACCTCCCAGGTGCAAAAATTGCCACCCCTGACATGGAGTTCATGTGGGGTACTTATGGCCCTGACTCAGTCCTCACTGTTGTTGTCACTGTTCCACCATCTGGCATAGTTCTCAATGTCCAGAATATTCAGCATGAGGAAAGGCTCTTAGAGAAGAGCAGGGTAGATGTACCCCTTCTGCCCAGGGCTCTCAGGCTGGCTGGAACGAGGGAGTCACAGACACTCATAGCCAGACGAACACGGAGGAGGATGTGAGTCATTTTGTCTGAGGAAGTCGGGTGAGACTTGATAGGAGATAAACCTTTCAGCTGCGTTTCATGGCGAGTGGCTTCAGGTGGACTTAAGTAGAAGCACAGCCAGGCTGAGTGGGCAGTGTGCTTCAGGGGAGGTGCCTGTGGGGTGGAAAACAGAGCGGGCAGCCGGAGATGCCTCAGGAACCTGTGCAAAATATCTGGGTGCTGGGTCTAGATGTTGCACCATTAAGCAGGGAGGGACCAGTCAGATTGTCACAAGAGGTGTTTGAAGCTGGTTTCCGTGGGCAGTGATTGATCACATTCATGCTCTCGCTTCCAGAACAGCACAAATTAGAAATCCACCAGGAAGTTGAACATAGGTTAGCATATCAGCTGCACTATTTGTTGGAGAGCATCTTGGTTCAATTAGAACGCAAGGCTGGCAGCCACAGGGTTCGCTAGCGGAGTGTCTGCCAGCAGCTCCTTTCCACACAGTGCTTCAGAACCACAGAGACTGAGCATGGAGAGAGAAGCCTCTAGAACTGCTACTAGAATGAACAAAGGCTTGGCTCCTGCCCCAGGACTGCCCCAGGTCTGCCAGCATGAGGGGAGGCAGATGCCAGCTGACGTCCTAGTTCTTGGAAGATGTCTGTACATGAAGACTCTTTAGCTCATCCTCAACCATCAGATGGGTCACTCCCACCCAGGGGAGACTAAGTTGGGCTGGAGCTCACCTTCTCTAGACATCTCAGAGTATCTGCCCTGTTGAATGGGGACCCTGAGAAAGGGAGAGGATGGCCCCCTCTGAAGCCGGCATCTTGGGCTCGCTCCTTCTTTTTTTTCTTTTTTTTTAAAGATTTATTTTCATTGCAAAGTCAGATTTACAGAGAGAAGGAGAGACAGAAAAATGTTCTGTCCACTGATTTACTCCCTAAGAGGCCGCAATAGCCAGTGCTGAGCCAATCTGAAGACAGGAGTTTCTTTCAGGCCTCCCATACAGGTACAAGGTCCCCAAAACTTGGGCCATTCCCGACTGCTTTCCCAGGCTACAGCAGGGAGCTGGAAGGGAAGTGGCAGCTTCTATATGGGATCCTGCCACATGCAAGGTGAGGACTTTAGTCACTAGGCTACCATGCTGGGCCCATTGGACTCTCTTTTGGACACATCCAATAGCAACCTAGAGAACAGAGAACAAGTGAGAGAGGTTAGAAGTGAGGAAATCAACGGCAGGGCCAAGACCTAGACAACAATTTGAGGAACTACAGCTATAGAGTCAGGATGGACGTAAGGAAGAGATCAGACACCTGAGGATTCCTAGTGTGAAAACTGGGTCTTTTTTAAGATTTATTTATCTTTTTTGAAAGTCAGTTACAAATGGTTGTGATGGCCAGAGCTGGGCTGATCCGAAGCCAGGAGCCATGAGCTTCCTGTGACTCTCCCATGTGTGTGACAGGGACCCAAGCTCTGGAGCCATCATCTGCCTCCCAGAGTGTGCATTAGCAGGGAGCTGGTTTGGAGTAGCCAGGACTTGAACCTGGTACTCTGATAGGAGACGCAGGTATTCCAGGCAGTGACTTAGCTGCCACGTCACACACCTGCCCTGGGATGATTTCTTATGGTTCCACAGAAACGTGTCCAGCACCACATTGAAACAGGCATCAATGTCTGCTGTCATAAGTTGTCCCCGGGGTGGGAAATCTGGATTGTTCTCTTAGTTCTGGCTTTGACTCCAGCCAGAAGTTGTACCCGCAGATGGGAGCTCCTTTTCTTCTTTCTACCAGTCTCATTGTCTCTCAAATAAATAAATAAACATGCAAATATAAAAAGTAATAAAATTCTTTAAAATTGTGAATCTTGAATATTCTTACCCATAAGCTTTCCGTGTGTCAGCTTTCCTAGTTCAATTCATTGAGTAGGTTCATACTCTGGCCTGTGGGTGAAATGTTGGCCACGCAAGGGCTGGCATTTGGCATCAGCATGTTAATCCACCGCTTACATGGCTGCCATCCCAGTATCAGAGTGCAGCTTTGGGTCAGCTGCTCTGCTTATAATCCAGTTTCCTGCCAATGTACCTGAGAAGGTTGGGGAAGGTCAGCCCAGGTACTAGGGACCCTTATCACCTATGTGGGAAACCCAGGTAAAGTCTTCAGCTGCTGGCTTTGTCCTGGCCCCGCCCTGGCTGTGTGACTCCATGGAGTGAGACCCAGCGGCTGAAAGATCTCTCTGTCTCGCCTGCTGTCTCTGTTGTTCTGCCTTTCAAATACATGAGTCTTTGAATAAGATAACCAGTCACGCAGAACAGACCAAGAGGCTCACTTCACCACAGGCTGACAACACCAGTGAGTCTAGTTCCCTCCCGCTCGCTCACAGTGGCAGTGATGCCTGGAGCCCCCAGCAGGAAGGGCAGGATGGACAGGGGTATACTTCGTTCCAGGGGTCATGTGTTCAAATGCGCCTTAACTTCTCTTTGGCAGCAAGGAGGCCAGGCCAGCCATCCCACAGCCGCCGTGGTGACAGAGAAGCAGCAGATGCTGGAACAGCACCTGCAGGATGTGCGAAAGAGAGTGCAGGTGAAGCCACTGGGAAGGGGGTCTTTTCCTGGGGCTAGTGCGTGGAGGTCATCTGTGTGCACCTTTTTTGAGGTTTGAGTTTTGTTTTGGTTCCACTCAGAAACTTTTCCTTCTCCCTAAGGAAATCTTTTTTGGGGGGGTGTTTATCTTAAACAGGATCTAGAACAGAAAATGAAAGTGGTAGAGAATCTCCAGGACGACTTTGATTTCAACTACAAAACCCTCAAGAGTCAAGGAGGCAAGTGACTTAAAAAACATGAAAGTCTCCGATAGAGAGTGAGTTTGTGCATCGAGTTGCAGAATTTGTCCCGAATCTGTGTTCATAATTTACTGTGAGGGCTGGCCGTGGTGCTTAGGGGACCTCGTGGCTGAGAGGTTTACATTCTCTTAGGCCACGATCAAGGAGTGTCTCTTCCACAGACATGCAGGACCTGAATGGTAACAACCAGTCTGTGACCAGGCAGAAGATGCAGCAGCTGGAGCAGATGCTCACGGCGCTGGACCAGATGCGGAGGGTAAGTGCCCCGGACAGCCTCCCTGGCTGCCTTGTGCACACGTGGTATTTAGGCAGCTCGAGGCTGGACTTGACAGCTGGCTAAGACGTTCCTTCTCTGGGACTGACCAAAGCCAGCGGTCAGTGCTGAAGGAGGGAATGTCCTCTGACTTTGTTTTGGTCCCCACACCCCTAGAACATTGTGAGTGAGCTGGCGGGACTTTTGTCTGCCATGGAGTATGTGCAGAAAACCCTCACAGACGAAGAGCTGGCTGACTGGAAGAGGAGGCAGCAGATCGCATGCATCGGGGGCCCTCCCAACATCTGCCTCGATCGTCTCGAAAACTGGTAAGAGGGCGAAGAGAAGCTTCCCCTCTCCTAGAAGGCTGCATTAAACGATGGTCAAAATTGTAGGCCACAGAATTGGTATTGTGTCTAAGCTGGAGACCTTCACATAACTCCAGTTTAGTCCAGTAATGAAAACTTTTTACTGTATTTGAACAAATTAAAAAATACATATTTTGTTTATTTATTTGTGAGGCAGAGATAGAGAGTCAGAAAACTGCTCTCTGCTGTTTGTTTATTCCCCAAATGCCAGGCATCAGTTGGGACTGAAATGGGTTGGAGCAGGAGCCAAGAGGAACTCACTCTGGGTCTCCCAGTTAGTTGAGCCTTCCTCCCCGCTTCCCAGGGTCTGCAGAGGTAGGAAGCTGGAACTGGAAACCTGAGCCGAAACATTAACTCAAGCACTGGTGTGGGCCCTGGACATCCCCACTACTAGGCTAAAGCCCCGGTCATTTTAGTCATCTAAAACAACACATAGTCTTTATAAAGGAAATAGTTCAAATACAGAATGTTAGTAAGGAGGTGAAAAATCTTTTAACAGCTTATCGTTCAGAGGTACCAATAGTTAGCTAACATTTTCATGATCACCACTCTAGCCATCATCATGGCTATAGACATAAAGATAGGACTCCATGCAGTGTTATGTCAGCAGGATCATTGTTTAGATGTTACTCTGTAACCTTGGCCTCTAAACATTCTGTACAAGCTTAAGCTAAGAGAATCTCAACCCAAGAGGGATACAGTGAACATGAAACTGGAAATTTGAGACAACTCTATGTGAGAGTACTGAGTGCTACTCTGCCCTCGTAAGTGTTGTTTTACTGAAAGCTGTTTAAATGCTTCCTGTTCAGGGAGTCGGGAAGTTTGAGTTGTAGCATTGGGACAAAGGAAGCGACACCAGGGCATCAAGAGAGCTCAGAAATCCCTGCGGCAGGGCCTGGTGTGCCACACAATGGTGAAGTGGCAGCTTGGGACACCTGCATCCTCCCTGGGAATGGTTGGCATTCCAGTACCACCTACCCTGCTTCCCATCTTCCTTCCTGCTAATGTGCATCTTGGAGGTAGCAGCTGATGGCTCAAGGAGTTGGGTCCCTGCCCCTCAGATGGAGTTCCAGGCTTAGGGTTCCTGCCTGGTCCAGGCCTGGCTGTTGCAGACATCCTAGCTGAGTAACATAAAGAGGAAGTTAGCATAGCTGTCCCTCTCCTACATCTTTCTCTGGAATCTCCTGGTCCTTATGAAGCTGGTTGTGGATCATCAAAGAGAAACCCGAGCATGCCCACCCTTGGTGACAGACTTCAGCAATTTTGTTCCCCCACCTGCTCACTTTTTCCATACACTTGTTGTTCATACTTGAATCACTGTGTCATGTCCTTCGACCTACAGAGAGTTTGTGTGGAAATGCTCACGCAGTTGAATGCTTCTCTTGGGGGTCCAATGATGTAGGGGACTTGTGTGTTCTCAGACTGCCTAATCCCGCTTTTTCCATTATTGCTGCATTGTACATGGGCAGGTCAAGATGAGGAAGGGGCGTGCTAACTGCCACATGTCGTCATCTCTATCCGGGCTATAATGCTCATCACTCTGCTGTGATATTAGCGCCTCTTAGTGGTATGAGCCTTAATACTTCTTCCTCTTTGCTCAGCCCCCTCTTTGAAAGGTGACATTTCAGGGAGATGATTTAAAAAAAAAGAAAGAAAGAAAGAAAGAAAGAAAAGCAGAAGGGCTTATGTCGTGGTTCTGTGGGTTAAGGTGCTACATGTGGAGCTGACATATTATATTGAAGGGACAGGTTAAGGTTGAGATGCTTTACTTCCTATGCAGCTTCCTGCTAATGCACTTGGGAAGGCAGCAGATGATGGCTCAACTCCTGGAGCCCCTGCCACCTATGGGGGAGACCTATGTGGTTGCCTTTATCTTCTACTCTCCCAGGTAGACTTGGGTAACTGGTAGCCTTCTTATGTTATTGGTAGGATAACCTCGTTAGCAGAATCTCAACTTCAGACCCGCCAACAAATAAAGAAATTGGAAGAGCTGCAGCAGAAAGTGTCCTACAAGGGGGACCCCATCGTGCAGCACCGGCCCATGCTGGAGGAGAGGATTGTAGAGCTGTTTAGGAACTTGATGAAAAGGTAAGCCTTGACCTAAAAAAAAAAAAAAGCCAATCCAAAACAATGTAACAATGTGGGAGATGGGCCACCTGCCAGGGCTGGGGTGGGGTGGAGACCCCAGGGAGGGGTTGGAAGGTGGGCTGCCTGTGATGAGTGGTCCTCTCTCTCTGTCTCTCCTTCCAGTGCCTTTGTGGTTGAGCGGCAACCCTGCATGCCCATGCACCCTGACCGGCCGCTGGTCATCAAGACTGGCGTCCAGTTTACCACAAAAGTCAGGTGGGTCCCAGTACTTCCACATCCGCTAAATGTTCCACCGAGGGACTTACAGGGGCTTCTCGAGAAGGGAGTCTGATGGCCATCTGACTCATGCTCTCCGGGAGGCACAGGTGGCAGTGCCATGCTGTGGGCCTGGAATTTGTTGGCATAAACCAAGTGCTACTTGGTTGTGGTGGCAAAGGTGAAAGAGCAGTAGTTTTTTCCTGAAGGCTCCTGGGAGTGTTCCAGTGAGTCCAGGATATAGCTTCCCTTCTGCCCTCCAGAAGGGGCAAATTAATGTTGGCTATTTTCTGTTTTTTTCTCTCCCCAATATGTGTATTTAAAATGCTGAGAGGAGAGGTGGGAGACAGAGAGAGTAAGATACCCTTCATCCACTGATTCATTCCCCAAATGTCCGCAATAGCTGCCGCTGGCTGAGGTGAAAACCAAGTGCCTGGAACTTGGGGTACCCCGTGTAGGTGGAGGACCTAACCACTCATGGGATACAGATGTCCCAAGTAGTAACCCCATGGCAGTGCCAGGCTCCTGTCCCTGTTTTCTGTTCTTTGAGCCCACATGTCCTTGAAAGTCTTCAGGGAAAGAGTGAGGCTCAGTGATGGGAAAGCCGAGACGAGCTGGGCATAGGGGAGGTGGCCTCCTCAGGGAAGTGTTATCTTCGCCCTGGCATCAGCACAGGTGTGCTTGGATTTGGCCCCTCCCTGCTGTGGAATGGCCCTCCTCAGAAATGCAGCATGCTGTTGGGTTTCAGGTTTCGTAGAGAGAATGCCAGCCGCAGAGCCTGGGCTCCTGGCGCAGTTTTCGTGAAAGGGTTTTTATTACCCTCTTAGGGAACTCTCACAGCTGTGTCCAAATTCTTGGGCTTTTTCTCAGCTACCTCCTGGCCTGCAGGGGTGATGCTTAGTCTAATTTCCACCAAATTTCATGTTGGGTGGAAGAAAAATTTGGGATTGTGATTCGTTTGCCACTCAGAAATGGAGGGTAATGAACTTGGCATTTCTTCAGCCAGAATTTATGGGCGAAACCTGACTCTTTTGGTTGGATTTTTTTTTTCTTCTGACAGATTGCTAGTCAAATTTCCTGAATTGAATTACCAGCTTAAAATTAAAGTGTGCATTGACAAGTAAGTACCCCTAATCTCAGCTTTTTTTTTTTTTCAAATGAGGGACAGAGAAGTAAGAACTTTGAACTCAGAGACTTTACCTACATGCAGAGGACTTTGTTTTATGAATGGAAGTTCACAAAGGCTCCCCCCCGGTGTGTTGCCTGAATAAATCCCCCCCCAAAAAACTGCACAGATTTAAGATTGATCCGTGACCACCGATCTCTGTAACTTGTACAATGTGTTATATAAAACTTAGAATAATGGAAAGAACAGATTTTTTAAAAAAAAAACTTCCATCTTTCACTATATAATGGAATACTTTTAAAAATTTGTGAATATCTTTCAAATATGATTCATTTTCAGTTTATTTATTTAAAAAGGCAGAATTCTTGAGAGCAGAACTCCCATTCGCTGGTTTCCTCCTCAGTAGCTGTAGGACCCCAGAACCCCATCCCCTTCCTCCTGTGGGTGCTGGGGTTGTGCACGCATGAGCCGACACAGAGGAGCGCCATGCACTGATGAGATTTGAAAGTTCTTCCTTGCTTGCAGTTGAGAGTGGGCTCAGGTCCCAAAGATCTCTCCATTCCAAAGTTCAAAGCAGCAGGGCTTATAAAGACAAAACTGCTGTCCAGAAGGGGTTCAGAGGGACTGAGCTGATGGCAAAACCACCTTAGGGATAAACAGTAACTAACTTTGCAAGCTTGTGTTGCTAAACCAGGTGAAACTCACTTTTCTCCTAGTCATGCTTGAACAGCCAAGCCAGAGGTTCAAGCGTTCTTGCCTAGCAGACTCATTTATCAGCAGTCTCATGGGTGGGGGGCTGTCTTACCTAAGATGAAAGCCAGCTCAACATGGAGTCCTTCATGTCAGGCCCATTATGAGGCTCTCAGGCACATGGGACATCCTCCATTGCTTTCCCAGCTGCATTCGCAAGGAGCTGGATGAGAAGTGGAGCAGCCTTGATTCAAACCTATACTCATAGGGGATGCTGGTGTGACAGTGTGCAACAACCTCCTGGCCACAAAACCAGCCCCTATCTTTCAAGTTTTAAAATTAACACAAATCAGAGGGCTTAGGGAAGGGAAATAGGCACTTAAAATTCTCTAAAAATGTCATGAGAATGAATTGGAAACGAAGATGATAGGTTTTCTAAATGAAGATGTAGTAATTGGTGACCTTAGCCATGCTTAGCCATGTACTAGCATTATAATAGCATTGTTAGAATTATAATAAACAACAGCAGTTAAAAAACAGTTATGATAAGCAACAGAATTAGGCTCTGTTTGAAGAAAACTATGAAAAGTTAGTGAGGGAAAGGTAATTCAAAACATGATGAGACAAATCACATTCCTGAATTGCAGGTTTTCAACTTTCTTATAAAGCTGTAGATTCTTCCCAGCTAAATCAGCACCATTCAAACGGTGAATAGGATCGTCCAGTTTATACAATGCTGTACGGATCTTACCTTAAAAGAGGAAAGAAACTAAGCAAATGTTCTAAGTCATTGGTTTACTATTATATTTTTTAATTTGTGATAAAAAAAAAACCCGTAAAATTAACTATCATTTGGATTGATTTATTTGAAAGAAAGAGTGATACACACAGAGAGATCATTTATCTGCTGAGCACGTGGCTGGCAAGACGTGCCTGGGCTGAAGCTAGGAGCCACGAGCTCCATCCTGGCCCCCACATGGGTGACAGAGGCTCAAGTTCTTGCACTATCTTCCACTCTTTTCCCAGGCACATCATCAGGGAGTTGGATGAGAAGTGAAGTAGCAGGGACTCAAACCAGCACTTGGGGTGCCAGATTGGGTGGTAGGGACTCCTTGAATTATCTTCCCAGACACACTAGCAGGACACTGGACCAGAGTATTCAGGACCCAAATCAGCACTCCAATTTGTATGCAGGCATCACAATCAGTGGTATAACCTGTTGTGCCTCAATGCATGCCCGTCCAAAATGTTTTAAGTACATATATATAAGTATAATGGGGAAAGAGTTGTGTTATGGGAAGCTTCCCTTCCAGATATTATAATGTGCCCTCAAATTTTAGTCTACTAAATTAGTATTTTACTACGATAAGAATAAACAGATTGATCATTAAGACAAAATCTGAAGTCCGTAAAGATTTGAATTTTATATAGGGGATTAATATTTACTTAATTAATGTTTGTATAGGGAACTAACTGCTTATTTTAATTTTATTTGAAAGGCAGAGAGACCAAGAAACAAAGACAGAGAGCTCTTCCATCTGCTGGTCTACTCCCCAAATACCCATAACAGCCAAGGTTGGCCCAGTCCAAAGCCAGGAGCCTGGAACTCAGTCTGGGTCTCCCACTTGGGTAGCAGGGGCCCAAGTACTTGACCAGTCTTCCACCGCCTTCCCATGCACATTAGCAGGCAGCTGAATCAGAAGCAGAGCAGCCAGGACTCAACTGGAGGCTACTGTGGGATGCCAGCATCATAAGTGGTGGCTTAACCACAATGCCAGTGGCACCACAATGCCGGCCCCAGAACTTTATGTTCTATACATGAAAAGTAGCTGACTAGTTTAAGAACTTCCCAAGCACAGGCGTTTTCCCATCCCACTGAGTGCCAGGATCTCAGAACAGGCTTTTGGAGGGAAGCAGAGGCCTGCGTGGTTAACAGTGATGTGTATTGTTCCAGAGACTCGGGGGACGTGGCGGCTCTCAGAGGGTGAGTTGGGCCCAGACTTCTTCCATGCTGTTCAGTCTAACTTTGTCCCCCCCCGGCCTCTGAGTAACCTGTGTGGTTGGCTTCTCTCCTGTGATCCAGATCGAGGAAATTTAACATCCTGGGCACGAACACCAAAGTCATGAACATGGAAGAGTCCAACAACGGCAGTCTGTCTGCAGAGTTCAAACACTTGGTACGTGAGGGGAGCCTTGGACACGGGACGTGGGGCCAAGGGTGGGAGAGGGCAGGCCCAGGGCACCGGCGACACACATCCTTTTTGTTTCTTCCAGACCCTAAGGGAGCAAAGATGTGGCAACGGGGGTCGCGCCAATTGTGATGTAAGTCTTGTTGGGGACAAGCGAGCAGCTGGCTCTCATAATGACAGGGGTTAGAAACTTGCACCTGTTACATCAGCTCTAGTTATTTGGAAGAGTGCCCATGGGGCCAGTGGGGTGTGACCGCAAGTCCCGGTGCCATGGCATGCTGGGACTGGGAGCATTTCCATGTGGAGTGGCAGGTCTGGGCTCCACTTGGGAGGCCTGGAAAGTCCCTTGCTGATCTCCGCCCAGCCTCAGGCTTTCCAGAGTCTCCTCCCGGCTACTGCCTGCAACTCCATTTGCCAGGACCAGTTTTACTGTCTGAGAGTGACACGGGGGGTGTGAACCTCACACGTCTGAGTTGAGCAGTAGAACGAAAGAACAAGCCCTGTGCTGTCTTGTCATTGGCCTTTCTGTCATTTCCTGGCTCCCAGACTCAGACTACAGGAGTTTTCTTTTACCTCTCTTTTTTAAATTCAATGGGTCTTCCTTCTTTTTGAAATACTTATTTATGTACTTTAAAGACAAAGTAACAAAGTGGGAGGAGGAAAGGCAGAGATGTTTTACCTGCTGGTTCACTCTTCAAATGACCATGATGGCATGCCGAGCCAATTCGAAGCCAGGAGCCCAGAGATTCTTTGTGGTCCCTGACTTGGGTACAAGGGCCCAAGCTCTAGGACCACCCTCTGCTGCTTTCCCAAGCCGTTAACAGGGAACTGGATCAGAAGTTGGGTAGCTGGGAGTCGAACTGGTATCCATATGGAATGCCGGCACTGCAGATGGAGGCTTAATGTGCTACAGCATGGTAAAAGACCCAATTATTGAATCCTTAATGTCAAGAATACACTTTTTTAAAAATTTATTTTTATTGGAAAGTCAGATATACAGAGAGGAGGAGAGACAGAGAGGAAGAGCTTCTGTCTGATGATTAACTCCCCAAGCGGCTGCAACGGCCGGTGCTGAGCCAACCCAGAGCCAGGAGCTCTCCCAGGTCTCCCATGCGGGAGCAGGGTCCCAAGGCTTTGGGCCATCCTCCGCTGCCTCCCAAGGCCACAAGCAGGGAGCTGGATGGGAAGTGGAGATGCCAGGATTAGAACCGGCACCCATATGGGATCCCAGCACATTCAAGGAGAGGACTTGAGCTGCTAGGCCACTGTGCTGCCCCCCCCCACCCTTTTATTTAAGTGAACATTTTAAAAAGCTTGGGGCATCTTGTGCTTTTTCTGATATTTGTTCACTAAGCCATTCTTCAATGCCTCTGGCATATTTATTTAGAAAAAGCAAGGTGTGGGCCCGGCTCGATAGTGTTGTGGTTAAAATCCTTGCCTTGCACATGCTGGGATCCCATATGGGTGCCAGTTCTAATCCCAGCAGCCCCACTTCCCATCCAGCTCCCTGCTTGTGGCCTGGGAAAGCAGTAGAGGACAGCCCGGGCCCTTGGAACCCTGCACCTGTGTGGGAGACCCGGAAGAGCTCCTGGCTCCTGGCTTTGGATTGGTTCAGCTCTGGCCATTGCGGCTACTTGGAGAGTGAACCATCGGACTTCTTCACTGTCTCTCCTCCTCTCTGTACATCTGCTTTCCAATAAAAATAAATAAATCTTTTTTAAAAAAGCAAGATGTAAAACAGTTTGAGTAATGTGATAGTATCTTTGTTGAAAAATATACCACCTTATATGATTAAATGAATGTATTCCAAAATCCTAGCAAAATACACATCAAATAGGATATAGATGAGCATTGCTGTTAGTACAGGAGGTTGCTCTGTCCCAGTCTCTGCAATTAATAGCATTTTAAACCAAGTATATGACTTTTATCACCAGAAAAACGGTATTCAAAAAATCAGTTGGAATTCCTTTCCTGAGAATTTATTATTACTGCTATTCCAAGAAGGTCACTTGCACTGCTGGTGGCAGGAGACAGTCTCAGTCACTTTGGGAAAGTTTGAAAATGGCTGGACAGGAGCCATGCAAGTCCCAGGAAGGCTTGGTGGAGAACTCTGCCTGGGTATGCCAGGAGACACAGACGCCCCGTCACAGCTGCCTGAGTGTAAGCTCTCACCCCAAGCCACTAGATGCCCGTCATCACTCACACACACGATGCCAGTCGTGATGTGGTCAGACGGTCGGATGTTGGACAGCCAGGAAGAAGAATGAATTGCAGGTGCACACAGCCACCTGAAGCCCTGCAGTGTGGGTGAAGTGAGGCACAACAGATTATACGGAGAGGATTCTGTATTTACGGGGTGACAGGCATCTCAATGCACACCCTGATTGGGGCAGTAGACCCAGGAACACTAGAGAAGAGAGCTGGGGAAGAGTGGCTGCTTCTGGAGGAGGGTTTGGGAAGGGACTGTCCGTCCTGCGTGGCCCGCTCTCCGACACGGGGTGTGCTTGTCCTCACTGCAGGCCTCCCTGATTGTGACCGAGGAGTTGCACTTGATCACCTTCGAGACCGAGGTATACCACCAAGGCCTCAAGATCGACCTCGAGGTGAGCCCCAGGGCCAAGCACAAAGGCTCCCAGTGGGGTCCTCCCTTCCCCAGCGACCACCCCCTGCTGAGCACTCTGCTGCTGCACCCCAACATTCCCAGCACCCCATTTGAGAGTCAAATCTGAGAGTTCAGAATACACGTGTACACTCCGCTCCTGAGTCCCGGCCGCCCACAGGGCCAGCAAGTGGAAAACCATGGCGTTGTCCTCTGTCTTTCCTGACCTTCCTGAAGTTTCAATTCAGATGGGCCTGGAGAAGTGGGGATCTTCGTCCTCGGCTTCTCCCACTTTATGGAGAAAATTAGCTTTGGTTTATGGAGAATGCCTCTCAGGTCTCCTGTGGCCTGTGAGCCACACTTGGAACAGGACCACCTCTCTGAGCTGTGGGTTGTGTTCAGGCAAGCAGCCTGCGTCCCCAGGCCATGGTTCAACATTGCTTTCACTCTGAGTGTCGTGCTAACTCAGGCCCACTCCTTGCCAGAGCTGGCAACAGGTACAGCTCTTGGCACATCCCTGTGTGGCACACGCTGCCTGCGAGGAAGGGGTGCAGGGACGTTGGAAGCCGTGAGCACCCCAGTCACCCCCAGCTCTCCACCACACTTTCTGCAGACCCACTCCTTGCCAGTTGTGGTCATCTCCAACATCTGTCAGATGCCGAATGCCTGGGCATCGATCCTATGGTACAACATGCTGACCAACAACCCCAAGGTTAGTCCATGGGCATTCTCAGCACCCTGCCCTGTCCCCTGGTCATTGGCCGGTGCCGCTGTCTGAACAGGCCGATGTGTTTTTTTCGACAGAACGTGAACTTCTTCACCAAGCCCCCGATTGGAACGTGGGACCAAGTGGCTGAAGTGTTGAGCTGGCAGTTTTCCTCTACCACCAAGCGGGGGCTGAGCATCGAGCAGTTGACCACACTGGCTGAGAAGCTCCTAGGTCAGCTTTCACCCCTCCTGCTCCCCTGCAAAGAGGGACCTGGTCCCTGGGGCAATTCCTGCAGTTGATTTGCCCTGCCCTGGGGCCAGGAAGCCTCTACACCGGAGGAGGTGGTATCTGGGTCCTCCGGATGTTTGCCGCACTGGTAGGAGGAAGAGGTGTCCCCCCTCTTAGATTCTGTCTTCTTGTCTTTGACTACTTTGTCCAGCTTGAGAAAATTTTTAAAAATTAGTTTTCTTTTTTTTTCAAACTTAATTCTGTTTGAAAGATACAGAGATCTTCTATCCACTTTTTCACTCCTCAAATGCCCACACAGCCATGGCTGGACCAGGCCAAAGCTGGGAATTCTAAACTCAGTCTAAGTTTCCCACGTAGGTTGGCAGGGACCCACGTACTTGAGCCGTCACCTGCTGACTGCCAGTGGTGTCTGTTAGCAGGAAGTTGGGTGCAAAGCAGCCGCTGGGATTTGACCAGGCACTCTGATGATGGGGTTCCAGTGTCCCAGCTGGTGACCTAACCACTACATCACATGCCTGCCCCAGCCTTAGAAGATTTTCTTTTAAAGCATGTTTTAGAAGCTAGGGCTAGAGGCTTGCCATTTCCTGTCCTAGTCTGTTGTTTGGACTATTTTGTGTGTCACCTGTATGGCAGGTGGCTTTTTTGGTGCCACCAACTTTCTTGGGGGTGCTGCTGTTCCCATTATCCACTCCCTCTGCTCAGCTGAACAGCAGCCCTGGTGGGTCCAGGGCCAGGAGAGGGTATGGGTGTGCGTTTGTGCAGTGCATACAGATCCACACTCACAGCCAAGGCAGCCTGCAGATGTGTGAAATCCAATAGCCTCATTGCCCACTGCACAACAGATGTGTGCTCTGAGAAGTAAGGTGTTGATTTTGAACTGAAAATGTCCTATATTATTCTTTCTTTCTTTTTTCTTTTTTTTTTTTTTTTTTAAATTTCAGGACCTGGTGTGAACTATTCAGGGTGTCAGATCACATGGGCTAAATTTTGCAAAGTAAGTGACCTTGTAAAATCTTGGCCATTGTGTCTCAGGGGTGAGAATGGGAGTGCTTACAAAATGTGGGCATGGCACGAGCCCAGCCTGAAGGCCTATGACTTCCAGTCCAGTGGCCTGGAGAACCTGCTTGAGGGCAGATGGGCCTAAGCGAGTGTTTCAGGCCAGTGCTTCATGCGCCTGGAGGGAAAAGGCTGGACTAGGGGTTGGCTTGATTTTTCCCATGATTTTTTTTCCAGGAAAACATGGCTGGCAAGGGCTTTTCCTTCTGGGTCTGGCTGGACAACATCATTGACCTTGTGAAAAAGTACATCCTGGCCCTTTGGAATGAAGGGTAGGTTAAGCAGAGAGCGCATGGGGTAGCCACATCACCTGCTCCTGGGCACCCAGGACAAGGGCCTATGCCTCAGGAGTCTCAACCATGCCCTCTTTGTTCTCTGTGGCTCCAGGTACATAATGGGCTTTATCAGCAAGGAGCGTGAGCGGGCCATCTTGAGTACCAAGCCCCCAGGGACCTTCTTGCTAAGATTCAGTGAAAGCAGCAAAGAAGGAGGCGTCACCTTCACGTGGGTGGAGAAGGACATCAGTGGTAAGCTTAGCTGCTGCCCCCTGGTGTCTCTAGCTGCTGCCCAGTGGCGCCCTGCTAGTTCTGAGCACCTGCTGCCCCCTGGTGGGCAGAGATAGCCTCACACCACCCTGCCTTGGTCTGCAGCACACAGTTGGGTGGGTGACTGCTTTGTTAAATAATTAATATAATAATATATATCATTAGTAAATGATATTCAAGTCTGTTGTCTTCAACCTATAGGACAGTCCATGTCTGAGTCATCCTGACCATGTCCACAGTGCTGGGCCCCAGGGAGAGAGGGAGGGGCGTTGCGGGGCTTACACGCTGGCCTGGCAGAAGTCTCTCCCCACCAAGGAAAGATGAGAGGGGGGCAGCATTTGCTGAAATCATCCAGCTGCGGGTTCCAGTCCCTTTGCTTTGCACACTGTGACAGGGAAGACGCAGATCCAGTCAGTGGAGCCCTACACCAAGCAGCAGCTCAACAACATGTCGTTTGCTGAGATCATCATGGGCTACAAGATCATGGACGCCACCAACATCCTGGTATCCCCACTCGTCTACCTGTACCCTGACATCCCCAAGGAAGAAGCCTTCGGAAAGTACTGTCGGCCCGAGAGCCAGGAGCACCCAGAAGCTGACCCGGGTAGTTGTTGATTTTCCACGTCTCTGCCCTTTTGTTCTTGGGGAGAGCTGGAAACTGCGAGGGCCTGGGAGGAGAGATACGCCTGGGCCTGTATCCGTGGGGTATTCCCGGGGGAGTATCCTTGTCCCCCTGCTGGGGAACAGTTCTGTGGAAAGAGCTTTTTGGGGTGTCTGGCTGCTGCAATCTCAGACCCGAGTAAAAGCTGAGTCTCCAGGCTTTGGCCTGCAGGGAGCACCCCATTCTAAAGGGGAGCTAGGAGGCCCCTGCAGCATGCCCACAGCTGCATAGACCACGGCAGGACAGGATGCTTGGTTAGCATGGTGCTTCCTACATTGTGGAGACCAGGAGGTCTGAAACTTAAACTTGGACTTGAGACCAGTGTGTCAGAAGGGCGGAAGTGGTGGCAGGAGGGTTGGTGAGGCTTCCCGGAGGCGAGCCAACGGAGGGGGAGTGCTGGGCTCACTGCGGTGACAGCTGCCAGTGGGAGAGTGTGGAAGCAGAACTTAGGATGAGCAGCAGCTGCAAATAAGACTTTAAAAATATATCCAGTTATCTGAAAGGAAGAGTGTCAGGGAGAGAGAGCTCTTCCACGTGTTAGTTCACTCCCCAAATGGCTAGCCCCAAAAGGGCTAAGCCAAGGCCAAAGCTGGGAACCTGGAACTCCTTCAGGTCTCATGCCTGGGTGACAAGGATGCAAATGCCGGGGCTCACCAGAGCCCTGTGCTTACGGAAGATCTGCAGGAATTTGGGTTAAACCTATGACCTGTCCAGGTGACCCATGTAGCAGGGGTGGGACCTTCCTGTCTCCCTGCTGGGTGATTGCTCTGTAACTCTGTTCCAGCAACTCGTCCTGATGAGGGGCTGTCTCTACTAGTTCTGTAGCTTTCCCTATTAAAAAAGAAGAAGAAAAAAAAGGGGGGAAAAAAAAACCCTTTATTTACCGGGGAAACAGAGAGCTCCCTTCTGTTGACTTTCCATGGCTGCAGTGGAGATCTTAGGCCAAGGCTCCCACACGGGTGACAGCAGCCCAGTTACTCAAGGTGTCCTGCTGCTACCCAGGGTTCGCATTAGCAGCAAACTGGAGTCAGAGCCAGGAGACGAACCGTGGCATGTCAGCCAGCATCGTCTTTGGTATTAGGCCAAATGCTTCTTCCCTGTTTGTTTTTATTTAACTTTTCTTACTGATGGAACCAGCATTGGGTCTTTAAATCAGCTCTTTAGAGCTGACTTTCCCTGCCTGAGTAGTTTTTGCTTAAAAAAAAAAAAAAATGATTTTGCCCAGATAACACTCACCCTTCCTTTTACATAGGAATTCCCTCCTAGGGAGGTGGAGAAGTGAGGAGTACAGTTTGGGGAGAGGGCCTTTGAGCTGGTTGACAGCTGACTTTCCTTCTCCCTTTGTTGAGCTGTGGAGTTTTGCTTCTGTGCAGTAGGGGGGTTTAACTCTCACTTCCTGTCTGCTCTTATCTCTGTCTGCACCTTGCATTTCAGTTGGGAGTTGGGTCTATCAGCCCTTCTCACACTCCCTTTGTTCCTCTCACACTACCCTGCAGGCCCAAGCCCTGGGCTGTGGCTGTGTCCTCCTGTCCCAGGGTTGCAGGGCAGGCCACAGAGGGCCTTCATGGGAGACTGCAGGATGAGATGATTCTGTTTCCTCTCTCGAGCCTGCACTGGCTGTGAGCAGTCTCACAGAGGTGGATCCTCTTCTCAGGCCCTGCCTCTGCCTCACTTGGTACCACATGCCCACTTGGGAGCTCCTCAGCGGCAGGGTGGGATTCTGAGCCCCACGCAAAGTGAGATGACTCACAGCCTGGTGTGGGGCCCCACAGAAACAGCCAGCCCTAGACTTTGTGTCTCCTGGCCCTCGTCAGGTAACCCAGTTGGTCGGTTTCTTGACCTAAGATAAATCCAGGTGGCTGCCCAGGCTCCACTTGCTTGTGCTTGCTCTCCGACCCTCTGCTCCCCACACCCTGCATTCCCCCTCCAGATCCTCTGTCAAGACCCTAGCTTTACAACTCCCTCTCTCACCCCTACCATCCTACTGTGCGCCCCCTAAGTGGCTTATGCACCTGAGGACCCCAGAATTCATCCTGGCACTCCCAAAGGGCTTTGAGTCCTTGGTGTAAGCATCTGACATTCATTTATTCCAGTCCTCATGTTTTAAACTACAGAAGAAGAATCATTGATGACAGGGGTCACAGGAGGCCAGCGCCACTTTGTTTTTCCTCTTATTTTATACATGTGAAAGAGAAGTTGCCTTGCCATGGGTCTGTTACCATTGCTGAGGAGCCTGAGCCTGGCCCTCTTGTTCACTGGCTGAGCCTACAGGCGGCTCCCCCAAAGGGTGATGCTGTGCACCCAAAGGCCGGGTTACCTAAGAGTCACCAGGCCAGCATAGCGCCACCGGACCATGCCGAGACAGGTGACCATTTTCGTGGTCTAGGCTCCGGGGGACCAAGAGCCTGCAGGAAAGCCTGCTTGCAGCTCAGGAAAGCTCCAGGGCATTGAACTGCAGAGCCACCCCTACCATGGGCTCCACATGGGCAGGGCACAAGGCAGGGCCCTGGGAGGCAGCCCTGAGGTTCAGGGTTGGGAGTTTCCAGACCATCTGGACACAGGATGGAGTGTGTGGCCAGTCCACTCTGGCGAGAGATAGCTTCTTCCTGCCCTGAACACAGAATGAGGTCATGGTCAATAAGGCCCTGTTTTCTTTTTTCTTTTTTTCCCCTCCCAGGTGCTGCCCCATACCTGAAGACCAAGTTCATCTGTGTGACACCGTAAGTGGCTCCCCTGCCCTGATTTTGCGTTTATTTCTAATGTCCTCAGTTGCCTCCCGGGAATAGGAAAGCAGGTGAGAGGTGTCCTGGAGAAGGGCGGGTGCTCGTGGGCTCTGAGTAAGACTCAAAGTGACCTCGTGTGTCGAAGAAGCTTGAGCTTTGATTTTTTTTTTTTTCTGTTGGAGACCAGAGTTTGATGGCTTGTGTGTGTGTGTTCTGTTCTTTTTTTTTTTTTTTTCCCCTCCATTGTGTCTTGTCAACCCGGCCCTCTCCCCTCCTGCCGCTGCCCGTTTCCTACAGAACGACCTGCAGCAATACCATTGACCTGCCGATGTCCCCCCGCACTTTAGATTCATTGATGCAGTTTGGAAATAATGGTGACGGTGCAGAGCCCTCGGCAGGAGGGCAGTTTGGTGAGTACTAGGGGGTGCCCGGCCCACTCTCCACTCCCCCCAGCCCCCCTCCCCCGTTCGTGGGTCACCTGGATTGGCAGGAGGAAGTTTCAGGGTAGCACTGTCTGTATACTGTTAGAAACAGCATACACATCTTCATGGAAAAAGAAAACAGGGGCATATATTGGTCCAATAAATCCCAACCTCCTGTTATCGCAACATGTAAGAAACAGTGAAATCTTTCTCCATTTTTTTTAAAGATTTATTTTTATTTATTTCAATGACATGTTACAGAGAGAGAGGGAGAGAGATCTTCCATCTTCTGATTCACTCCCCAGATGGTCTCCACTGCCTAAGCTAGTCCAGGCTGAAGCCAGGAACCTGGCACTTCCATCCACCTCTCCTTCGGCCCACCTTGCGCTGTTCTTCCAGACATACTAGGAAGGAGCTGGGTTGGAAGTGAAGCAGCCAGGTCTCCAACTCCAAGGGGATGGCGATGTCACAAGCAGTGGCTTAATCCACAGTGCCACGACACCAGCCCGTACATTCTTTTTGTCCTCACTGAGTCTCTCAAGTGAGCTTTTCACAAGGCCAACACCCCTCAGGGTGAGTTAGCCATGTTGCAGGAGCCCCAACACACCCACCCACCCTCCCACTCAGTCGTGTTAGCAGAGACCCTCCATCCATCCTGGAAAACTGGCAGAAATGGGAACCTTGGTGGAGGGAGGGCCCTGAGAGTAGGCGGGGAAACAGGGCCTTCTCCAACCCTGACTGCATGAGGGAGCCAGGAGCCTTGTCCTCCACTCCACAGCAGAAGGGGGGTACGGAGGGCGCCCGCCAGCGGAGGGTCACACGGCTGACGGCCTTCTTGCCTGTGTGTCCCGCAGAGTCCCTCACGTTTGACATGGAGTTGACCTCGGAGTGCGCTACCTCCCCCATGTGAGGAGCTGAGGACGGAAGCTGCCGCCATGCCTGAGGCACCTCCCCGCGCCCCGCCGCCCCTCAGCCAGCCAAAGCCCAGGGTGTCGGAAACTCCTAACTCTGTGGTTCCAGATTTTTTTTGTAATCTACTTCTGCTATCTTTGAGCAATCTGGGCACTTTTTTTTTTTTTTTTTTTTGCAATAGAGAGATGTGTGAATGTGGGTGCTATGCTTTCATCTAGATGCAAATAAGAACGTGTTCTCGGAGGACAGCATGTGAGGAGGTGGGAGTGGGCGGCTGGCGGGAGCGAGAGGAAGCGGCTGCCGTGTTCTGTCTCCCTGCCCTCCTTTCTCAGCCGCTTTCTGTCACCACCGCTGTCAGACAAGTGCCTCCTGGTGCCTGTGGCACCTCCTGCCTATTTATGCCAGCCAGCGCCCTGTCCACCCCTAGATACGTCCTCCTGGCATTGCATTTTGGCCCATTGCTAATGTCCGAGTGGACTGCCTGAATACCCCAGGCCACTTTCTAAATGAAATAATCGTACTGAAAGGGCAAAGAAACCCAAATTGTCACATTTTGTGAGCAATGTAGCTTTTGTGTATTTAATTCAGCTCCCAGCCTCCTCGGTGCTCTAAGCATTGGTTTTCTGTGGGCTGATAATTTATAAAAACTCTGAGACGGGCTTCTGATCACTTTTTGAAGATATCTGAAGCTGTGGCTTAATAGCCTTTGGTTTTGACACAGGTAGATTTTAAAGAGAACCTACCCATTATAGGCTTTTATTTTTTAATTAACAGATTTTAATTTTCCTCTGTGACATTGGCCTTTTAGCTGGTGAAGCTAGGCAGAGGGGGCATAAGATCTGTCCCCCTCCCCAGACTGCCACCCTGCTGCAGACAGAGCCTCGCCATGACTCTGGGTGCCTTTGCAGGACTGGGATGGCCTGGCTCCTCGCCCGGCCCACCCCAAGCCCACGCCTGCCCTGGGCTTCCAGGCTCTTTGTCCTGCTTGCTTCGGGAACCCTGCTCTGAGGACCCCAATGAGAGGGGCAGGCCAAAGTTGTCAGGGTGATGGTGAGGCCCTAGCCAAGTGTCTGGCTGAGCTCAGGGAATACAGTTCTTGGCCCAGTTTCTCACCGACTTCCCACGGCGCCTGCAAAGCCTTCTTCACTTGGCTAGCACAGGGCAGAGACCTCCTCCCAACCAAGCCCTCCACGGGAGTGTTTTGCACTCAGCCTCCCCAGGGCGGGTGGGGGCTTACCTGCACCTGCTGTGGCCTCCGCTGTGCCTGTGAACATGCAGTGTGCTCTGCTCGGAGGGCTTATCAGATCCAGAGGTTTCTGTGGAACTGTTAGCTCCACACTTGATGACTCCTGAACTGAAGGGTGAGGGCCTGCTCTCCAAGACGAACAGGGCTTGCCCAGGGACATCCCGTCCTCCTGCTTGGGGGTGGAGGGGGGCTGATTCGTTGTACGGAGCCCTCCCCTCCACAGCAACACTTTTCCTACATAATAAGCTGACTGCCTACCGCCACAAACTAGAAAAGATGAAACTCGGGGCATACGAGGGGCATAAATCCTGAGGACCCAGGCTTAATATTTTGTGTTTCTCAGGAACAAACATTGTCGAGTTCCCGCGCTTGGGTAGCACGCATATCTGGGTTCGCTCTGATTGTAGCAGAAGTTCTGAGAGGAGCTGGGCCTTTCTCTCACCTCTCCCTTCCCCGGGCCCTGCCTGCTCTCTCTCAATTGCCCCTGCCCAGCCCCAGATCAGCCGAGGGATTTCTATTGATCGCTTCATCTATGAGTGGTTTATAAGCTGCTGTCCTAGCCACTGCACTCAAATTCTAATATGTACTAAATAGTGTAAAAATTTATATTATTGTGGGGTTTTCCTTTTTTTTTTTTTTTTTGTATATTGCTGTATCTACTTTAACTTCCAGAAATAAAAGTTATATAGGAAGCGTCTGAGAGCCCGGCAGTGCTGTCTGTACCAGATAGAACGTCCCTTTTCGGTCCAGGCCCCCATCCGGCAGCCTGAGGGACACGAGGGGGGTCCTCAGGTCCAGGAACCAGCAGGTGGAAGTAGAGCCACACCCCTCCCTGGCCCTGCCTGGGCTCTGATAAGCCACCTAAGGGGGGTTGGGGTGTGGCTGCTCCCAGCCCCCACTCCAACACTGGCTCCATTATCGCATGACCTTCAGTTCCCTCAGAGGTAGAGGGGGATCACTGCAGATACCTTCCTGGCTGCTGCCATGGCCCAGCCCCCAACAGCCCGGGGTGATAATCCAGGGCAGCGGCACCTGTACCCCAGCGCCCACTCAGCACTCCCACTTCGACTAGCCCAAGTGCCATGGAGATAGAGCGGAGACTGACATGGGGGATGAGCTGCTTCCTCCTACAGAGATGGAGCAGATTAGGGACGTAGGGAAAATGCTCTAGGCCCCTGCGCCTTCCTGGGGCAGGATGCCAGCTCCAGGCCCTTCCCTCTCTCTTTGCTGAGAGCTCCCACCCAAGGGAGGCCCCCCAGTGGCAGCAGTGGGATGATGCCCCCTGCTGGTCTCTGGGAGGAGACCAGGAACACAGGGCTGCCGGCCACTCCTGCTGCTCTTGGCTGGGAAGCACTGGAATCCCCCTGCCCAGCAGGTCCTCAGCTGCTGGCTTCAGGAATGCTCCCAGCAGCAGCTGATAATGGCCGCCTGCACCCAGCTTTGCTGGGTCCCTGCCCGCAGTCATTCCTGCCTTCCCTGGCTCTAAGCCCCTAGCCAAGCTCTTCAGTCTTCTGAGTACACTGACAGCTTTCCAGGGTGGTGCTCACCCTCAAAATTGTGCCAGAGAAGGTTGCATGGCAGCTGCAGGCTACAAATGACAGCATCAGCCACACAGGCGGGACAGGACACAAACACCCCAGCTCCCAGGTCTCCACCTCACAGGCAGATCCCCAAGCCAGGAATGGAGCAGCCAATGTATGAAAAAAAAAAAAAAAAAAAAAAAAACTTTAATTCAGAAACACTGTTTACACAACTGCAAGTCTATGTACAAAGTACAGCTGAACCCCTTTTCTCCTCCCCACCCCCCCGGGCGTCCTGAGGCCCAGGACAGCGAGGGCTCGGGCCACAGCCTGCCACACAGAGTAGCAGGAGGCCGCTCCCCACTCCCAGCCTGGCTCGCCCCTCCCTGTGTTCCCGCACATACAGCAGGTGTCTGCTGGGCCTCCCTGTCCCCACCCCGCACATTCTAGGCCTCTGTTCACGCACCATGCCCTAGCCCTGCCCCTTTCTCCTCTACAAGCAAGGGTACAAATGGACAGGAAAGAAGGCTGAGTGGACAGGAGGGGGCACAGCAAGGATAAAGAGGGCACAGGGTTGGGCAGTTGGTAACCACATCATAGACTCAAAGCTCATGTCCCTAGGCAAGAAGCTGTGTTGGCCACAGGGGCTCTGGCCATGGCCTGGGCCAGCTCTCAGAGGGCAGAGGGGGAGCAGCAAGTCTGCAGTCAGCGCAGACTTTTATACCAAAGTATAAAAGATACGTGGAAGTGAACCCCAACCTCCCTCCAGGGGAGAGAATCAGACCACTGTGTGTGTCTGTGGCCAGATGCACGCTCACACACGCGTCTGCACACATGCACACTGGGGAGGGCAAAGCTGCTCACTCAAAGGTTAAGCCAGCCTGGAGCTGTTCCATCCCCTGCCCTTGAATGAATTTCATGTATTCAAACATTGCTGCACAAACTGGACACACAAGGAGTAGGGTTGCCGGTGCAAAGCACCTGCCAAGAAGGAAGCTCGGCCTCCTGGACAGATGGACTGGGGAGGGGGTGGTTATCAGAGGCTGCTGCCATGGCAACCACAGAGCCAGGGCAGGTAGAGTGAGGCAGGCCCACCTCTACGCCACACATGCGTGCACACGCATCCACGTCCTGCCTACACTGGCATCACCGGGCACAGCGGAACCGAACCCTTCCCATCGGAGACTGCTTCCAAGAGCAGGTAAGATGTCCCTACTCAGGACAGGGAGCCCCTGGCTGCCGTGAAAAGGGCAGCAGGTGGGGACAGGCGTGGATTGAGGCTGTCCATGGGGCGGCGTAGGAGCTCCTCCACGTGTCGGGCTACATCCATGGTCTCGTCCAAGTCGAACTCTCCTTCTTGGTCCAACACAGGGTCTGGGCTGTGGACAGAGGAGACATCATAGGGGCTGGCATGTCTCAGGGAACCCAGTCTGCTCCCTACTTCAACCAGCATCCTAGGGACCAGCTGTGTGCCTCACAAGACAGCAGCAGTTCCAGCTCAGCATCCATGTGCATCTCTTGGTATTTCATTATCCTCTTGGGGAGTTCCCTGCCCTGTCGGCCTTGTCACAGTGGCTGGGCCAGTGAGTTCACCCACCTGCCCACCATGCACAACACCATTCCCGGGAAGAGCGAGGTGGGCATTCACCCCATTTTATAGGGAGGCTCGGCTTTGTTCAGAAACTTGCTCATGCCCCCAGGAATCAGGGCTGGCACCTGGGGTTTCCAGCCTGTTGGTCTCCCTGCAGCTCCCTCCCGGGTGCCCAGCCCCAGCCACCCACGGCCCACACAGGAATTCCTTGCCCTGGGCCCGCCCGCTATGGGTGCACAGCCTCTTTCTCACAGCAACCCTCCGCCTCCTAGAACCCAACTTACTTCTGGGGGTACATGTTGTAATGTGTCTGGGGACACACAGCCGGGGAGGGAGCCTGGTCCATGTAGGTGGCGTTGGCCCCTGCTTCTCCAGATGCATTCACAAACCTGCGAGAGAAGCAGGACAGAGCTCAGCTGCCAGGGAGGCCGCGGGCTGCCCAACCCGGAGGAGGGGCCCAGGCCAATGGCCTCCTTCTCTGGGTCAGGCAGGACACAGGGCCCAGCTTTACCCCCTCTGATGGCTGAGCCAGGTCTGTGGGCAAAAGGGAAGGCTGGACCGGGGGGGATGGAAGGGGCGGGTGGGAGGAGGCCCCAAGGGGACACTGCACACTTACTCAGGGACCACTTGCTTGATCTGCGGCTTCACGTACCCGTCCACGGCCTTGGCTGCGGGAAAGTGAGAGACAGCCTGAGCTGCCCAAGCTCCGCCCATCTCCCACCCACCATCAACTTGGAGCCTTACTTAGCAGGGGTGAGACTTCCCAAGCCCCAATAAACATCTGCTGAGGGCCCACCTGAGGTTCCACAGGCTCCCAGCACAGGTCTCACCCCTTTCTGGGCAGCTGCTTTCTCTGCACCCCCTCCCAGGCAGAATTCACAAGATGCAAACCCCACCACAGCTTTGGGAGAAGAAACCTATTCATTTTGCTTCCCGCAACAACCCCAAGGAGCTGGGAGAGTGACCAATTGGCAGAAACAGAGGATGCTCTGTGGGTGTGGCTTATCCTAGCTCCTCCCACCCCATCCACACCCTGCCTGTTTCCTCCAGGGGAGCAGAGGTAGACTGCACTGCGCTTGACCCCTGGCAGACCCAGCAGGGCCAGGGCTGCTTTCCCTGTCTGTCGGAGGAACCTGACGTCCCTTCCCTCACTGCAAGACCCCAGACTCACGGGAGCCAGGCATCCGTTGTAGTGTGAGGAGGCACTGTGGGGCTCCCTTGAGTGCTTGACCCAGCTTTGCTCCTGCTAATGCATCCCTGGCGACAGCAGGTGATGGCTCAGATAGCTGGATCCCTACCACCCTCATGGGACACCTAGATGGGTCCTGGCTCCCACCTTCAGCCTGGACCAGCCCTGGCTGTGCAGCCATTTGGGGAGTGAGTCAGCAGATGGAAGATCTCTCCCTCGTGTCTCTGGGCAATTATTGAGAGAACCCAAGATGGGGCGAGAGGCAGGGGAGGGGGCAGGACGCACCAAGCACAGGGGTGTAGTACTTGGAGAAGACCTCATCCTTGGGGCGGTCAGGAAACACATAGATGAGATAGCTCAGGTCCCCGAGGCGGTCAGCCAGGGACCGGATGGAGAAATCACGTGTGGTGAACGGCTTCAGGTTCCACAGGTTGCGATCAGCTGGGAAAAGGAGACTCCTGTTCCCACCAGCCTCAGAGGACAGAGGGCCAGGGTCTGGCCTGCCCAGGGACCCCCTCCCGTGGGATCTGGGCACAGGGAAGGAAATTCACACAGGAACCTGCCTTCCCACCAGCCAGGAAAGCAGACACCAACATGGCCAGGCATGGCAAGTGGGGGGAGCAACAGATGCCAGCTGAGACCTTGCCCTGTGGGTCTGGAGCCTATGTGCGTGTATGGCAGGGCTGGGGGGTGGAGGGTTGGCTAGTGGAGCAGGTGCTCCAAAAAGGGACGAAGGAACCCACTTCTGAGCATCATGCTGCTTGCACTGTGAGCCCAGCCCCTACCTTTCCTGATGGGCACCTCTTAAGCGGGGAAGAAGGAGACAGGCAATGGGGTCCCTGCACCTGACAGGGAGCGGGCGGGGGGCAGTGGAAGTGGGCACTTACGGGAGTCGAACTTCCAGGCAATGGTGATGCCCCCGATTTCTGAGTCGCTGAACCTCAGGAGGAAGGTCCCGTCAGGCTTGTTAATGAGCAGGTCGTGGGCCTGCTGCTTGTTCACAAAGCCGAGGATGGCCCTGGGACGACAGGACGCAAGTGGGTCACGCCGGGCCAGTAGCCCTGGTGCCCTGTGCCGGCCCTCGAAGGCTGACCTGGCCCTCACCCGTCATTCCAGTGGGGCTTGTGATGCTTCTTCAGCACCTCCATGACCCCGTCAAACCACTGCCAGAAGGTGTAGTTCCAGCCGGGCAGGTTCTCCTACAGGCCCGGAGACCCCAGGTCAGGGCTGCGGGGCCCAGCAAGCTCACAAGCCCCCCTGGCCCCAACTCAGGCCTGCTCCCAGGGTCCATCCCACTAGTTCCACCCTTGACCCCAGCACTCCATAAATCAACAGCTCCACTCGTATCGCAGGGGTCTCCTGTCCCATGTTTCTAAGACACAGGATTCCCTAATACTCCCCT